CCTGATTAATTTTATTGGGACCTATCTCTTTAGCCGGGCTCATCTAATGGTGTATAATCTGCATGTCTTTGTCCTTCACTTTCCTATCCTCAATCCCAAAGTTGGCGGACCCACATAGGCAAATTAAAGCTGTTTCCAGGTTTTACTCCTCTCACTGCAATTGCCTTTTATTGACTTCCCTTTGTTAAAATATTTTCTTGGCGATGTCTTTTCCTGTCCCTGTCACTCCGACCAAGTTGCGAAAACGAGGTCAAATCTACACTATATATTACATACACTTATTGGCTAATTGGCTTGGCGTACTTTTTGATTTATCTCTCCTAAGTCACTCCTTCCATAAATCCTGACTGATAGTGAATGCATGCTTACTATGAGTATCTTATTTACGCTAGATTGAATTACAAATATATACATATGTAAATGTACCAAGTCCACCATCCAATGATGGGAATTATATGGAAGAGGACTCTGGTTAAAGTGCATTCATCGCTGTTTCCCTGACAGCACGAGGAAATTGCCTAATAAGAATTGCAAAGATGATAAATATGCTTTTAGTATGGTTTTCGAGTTCTTATAGAAGATAAGTACAAGCTTAAGCTTTCTTAGTAAGCTCTAAAAATATTTTTTAATTTTTCTAGCCCTACTCCAGTGAAGGGTATCCGACCAACCTACCCTCTCACCATCCTTGATGTAGCTCACCTGTCACGCACTCTTGTTTCTGCTTCGGAGCCTTCCCCCCAAACCTTCCCACCAGCCAACCTAAGTGCAGCTGTCTTTGGCACTGGCAATGTTGTCACCGCTACCCAGCTTCCAACTTCTGCGTTCAGCATTTCATCTTCTTCGAATCCTCTGATTTCAGAGTCTCTTCACTCTATCGAAGAATTCGACCTGACTTCTCGCGTCGCAAGACCGACCTTCGCCACTGAATCATCGGTCGCTATCTCCATCGCCCCTACTAGTATATTCAACATGGTTGATGATGTCGATGCAATTACTCCCATAACTATCGCTGTTACTGGCAGTATACATCCAATTTCTGCTCCAAATTCACATACGACTTTAACCACGAGTGTTAGCAGCTCTACAGTTTTAGTGCCTGGTGCACACAGCAAATTACCCGAGCTAACCAATGGACTCCACTCGAGCTCTGTCAATCCCGACATACATGCCAAATCAACAGATACATTTTCATCTTCGTCTTCATCCATATCTCCGTCGCGAACGCAACAACAACTTAAACAACAGCAAAATCCACCTATCTCGTCCACAGGATTTTGTTGTGTCGATGATGACTTGTCTACTCTCACGCTTGATGTCTTGGGATCAGGCCCTGGGCTTCTAGCCTCTGTATGTGATCCATCTTCAAATATGGGCCTCGTTGATGCCAGCATTCCTATCTCCGAATCTTCATGTTTTACGCCAAGCTCTAACATCCTACCGACTACAAGGTCTATTGAAGGTGCCCCTTCTGACGCAATAAAGAGTATCGCCAGCCCACCCTTTATAGACAGTAACTTCGTTGCAATCGAAGGAGGAGAAAATGTGCCGCTGAGTCAGCTGCAGTTTGGACACAGTACTGGTGCTGTGCATTCTTTACCAAGCTGCCAAGTCTCGACCGACTTGTCGACGGCCTCATTTAAGCCGAGTATGTTCTCAATCTGTTATTGTCAAACTCTCAAAGTCTTGAGTTTGGGCCTCATCATTTGCAGCCCTGCCTCGCAAGGCCTGACTTTTATATTCGTAATTATTACTGGAGCCTTGAGTAGGCATCTATTTTAAGTGATTTTTATCTAGTATCATCATGGTTCATACTTTATTGCTAAGCCAGTTTTTATTTGGATTTATTAAAGGGCAATTGCTCCCTCGACACA